TACACGTCACTGAATATACACAGATTGACTGACTGGTACACTTCACTGTATGTACACAGATTGACTGGTACACGTCACTGTATGTACACAGACTGACTGGTACACGTCACTGAATGTACACAGACTGACTGACTGGTACACGTCACTGAATATACACAGATTGACTGACTGGTACACTTCACTGTATGTACTTTTGCATCGGTGTACTGAAGCTGTTAAATGTGTCTACATCGATATAACACTCATCATCATTTCTTCCACACACACACACACACATAATTTTGAGCAGATCACGTGCACTGAAATCAACGTCAAAAAACAAAGAAATAAAAATATTCTATTGAAGACTGTTTAACTGTTCGTGATTGGTTTCAATAAAGTGTTTGTACACAAACAAACAAAAACAGGTGGTATAATCAAAGATTATCTTTAATCTATGGACTAAAGAATCCTCATATTAATAGCAAATTGGTAAGAAATAGATTTAATTTCTTGTTAACGTGGATGTGATTCACTGTACGAGTACCGTAACCTTATTCTAGAGGCATGGCCAGGAGGTTAGGGTCGCGGGTTCGAATTCCCGTCACACCAAACATGCTCGCCCTTTCAGCCGTAGGGATGTTATAATGTAACGGTCAATCCCACTATTCGTTAGTAAAATAGTAGCCCAAGAGTTGGCGGTGGGTGGTGATGACTAGCTGCCTTACACTGCTAAATTAGGGACAGATAACCCTCGTGTAGCTTTGCGCGAAATTCAAAACAAACAAACAAACTTATTCTAGAGCGGCACAATATGTGTTCACTGACGGCGCTTATCAAAAAAAGTAACATATTTGTAGAACTTATATAAAGTCTTGTTCATTTTAAAAAGAAATTTATCAATTCGTGATATTCATTATAGGCTTTCGAGTACCGTATTTCTAATTTGTTTTTTAGAAATAAGTTAATCTTCTAAGCAATGTATAACCTAAAATAATACACACACACACACACTTATATGTATATACGTACACACACATGCGTATACCCATATGTATATATATATAGCATGAGATTTAATACAGAAAACCGCTAAGTAAAAAGGCACTCCACTTCTTTCCCATTACTACTCATGCCCAGAATAGTGCTGACTTTCTTTGACTAGTATGGTGAGCTTCGTACCTTCTTCTGTCGATGTGCAAAATTAATATCCGACTTGAAAAAGGCAACAAATGACATTTCCCTCCTGTAATATTCACTCAAATTATTATTATTAACATCCTTTAAGCAAACGAAGATGGAAAGTGAAGTCTCGTAATGTTTATACTTCATTAAGTGGTCCAGTGTGTCTTATAAGTGTTTTAGTAACTGTTAACAAATTAATATGTTTCTAATTTTGTATCGTATCACAGCTAGTGATTAAAAAAAAATGTTATTAG